GTGTCTGCCCGAAATGCTACAATGTCGGCGGTTATGATGGAAAATGCAAGTTTCACACATGTGCCGTTTGTACGCACGAGTTTTGCTTCTTTTGTCTAAAGCCCCAAAACCAATGTACCAAGAACTATCAAACACAATGTGTGCAGGTGAAGCGACAAGAGTGTACTGTATTTCCACACATTGTCGGATCAAAGGTTGAAAGTGAGGATAGTCGAACTTCCAGGCAACCGCAAGGTTTTTTTTCAATATATTCACGATTCTTGAGAACGATATTCGGCGGCTCGTAAATACACGTATACTTTTCAAAACTGCAAAAGATTGATTTTTTGTCTTACTTTGTGAAAATTCTATAATTGATTTGTAAACTTTCTACTTTGCACTATCTTATTTTAACTATCATTGTAATATATACACGAATTCTTTGCTTTCTAAAAGTCTAGAAATTAACAAAGAATAATTTTTTTTATCTGAGCTTAAACTTTGTCTAGCAATCATGAACATGCTTTAAAAGTTTCAATTGTATAATAAACTTATTCTTATTGAAATATTCATTGTAGATGAAAACAGAAATGATGAAGAGTAAAATCAAACTTTCAGGAAGAAATATTACATTTTCGTTAGAAATTTCTCATCTTTCTGTTGGCTACATTACGTCTCGTTAGACTCTGTTATTTCGCAATTTGTGCATAAAACTTTCTTGCAGAACTTTCGTCCATAAATATGGAAGCTCAGACACAATGTGTAACTTGATAAGTTTATTGTTCTCAAAATAAACTCTCTTCGACATTTTAATTTTAAATAAAAAAAGAAAATTATAGAAAGAAATATAATACGTGATTAGGAGTTAGAACGTAACTTTTGACGCTCATAAATAAGAATATATGCATCAGATTTCAAGGCTTCGTTTAAAGATACTTGATGAACATGCTCATCGTTAAAATGATACCAATCCATGGTAATTAGATGTCGAGCGAAAGTCGTACAGTGACCGCTGGCAAGTGTTCCTATATGTGTCATAATAGCGATAAGATTGTATGCTGCAGATTGATCTGTGTAATTGTTTTCAACAAATCGTGTCAAGTCAAGAAACTTTAGTATACGAATTTTCGTCGTAGTTTTTGTTTCATCTGTAAGATCATCTGTAAATCGTTTCAGTTGGAGAATCAAAACTTTAGGTAGTTCATATAAGTCTAATTTCTTAATTGCATCCGTATCTTTCTGACACTTCTCACAAAACCATCGCCCGTTTGCACCTAATTGCTCTTTTTTGAGAAAATCGTCAATACAATCGTAGAGAGTGATATCATTTTGCAAAACGTGTCTTAAAGGAGACATTAATTTGTCACTTATTTTCGTAATTAGGTTGTTTCCAGCATTTTCTGAAGGTGGTTGACGTACAGGTAATGGAAGAGATAAAAATGAATCGTCTGTCTTTGTTTCAGTTTTGCATATAAGACACTTGACAGTTGATCTAATTGTGCCATGCATAAGATCACCTATGGATGAGTTGTGATAGTTATCCATCAATTCATCATGAAGACCTTCGATGAATAAAGTTAGAAATTCATGACTGTCTTGTTGATTTGTTCCAGCAAAACGTCGGTTTAACTCACTAATACAAACTTTCAATTCATATGCGCTAGTAACACCTGTAGGAATCGATTGCATTTCAATTAAAAGTCGACGATAAGCTGATACAATCGATGGCAATTGATATGGTTGTTGTTCTTCAAGATTAAGTATAATCTCAACGAATGGACCAATATGAGAAAGACATTGAAGAGCACTATTCATGTAGCACGAAAGACCTAGATTTTGAAGACTACATCCACCAGATTCTAGCTGTTTGCGACAGTTAGTAATAGAGTCTATTGCATTCTGTAAAATTCTGAGCAATGGTATATCATTCTGTACCGTGCTTATTTTATTTTCTGATGGTGCTTGCCATGAAGTTGTGACCGACGTATCTGCTACTGCTTGTTCTGAATTCTTCACACAGAAGGAGTGGCGGCTTTTAAGTAGAAATTTTTGATGGGCATCCCAGTGTAGATTGGGGGAAGCAGTATGGAGTTTTGTAAGACATGACTTGCAAGCCGACAGTGAAGCAGAACTATATTTTACGCCTAGTTTGGCTGTAACAAGAATTAATAATATAATCATAGCAATCACAGAAAATAAACATTGCAATAGATAATTACTACTAAAAATGCCTGAAACTGTTCTTATCAGTGCATTATGAGTCCCCGTTGAGTTCATGTTTTGTTCTAAAGATTGATTCTATTAAGAAAGAAAAAGAAAATATTTCTCAGTACGTTCTCGACTGTGTCCAGAGTTCTTGACAACATAAGAGGTTATTCCAAATTTGATCGAAAAAAAAAATGTCGAAAAATTTTACTACAGAAATATCGTAAGGTAAAAAGACCGAATGACAATAATATCGAAAATAGAAACTTCGACAAATAAAATATCGAAATGTAAAATGATCGAAAGATGAATACGTCGATGATACGAAAATGTCGAAAAAATAGAAAAGTTTTTGATTGAAGAAAAATAGTTATATTTTGTTAAAAAGTTCTTCTTCACAGAAAAAGTGTGGGTGTGTGGGGTTTGAGTGTGGGTGGGTGTGAGAGTTTGGGTGTGAGTGTGGATGAAGGGAAGACATACATCTACATCCACCTATGCCCACATACACATTCCACCCATACCCTCAGCATAAATGTTTTGAAAATTTTTCCTTTAATATTCGTACTATTCGACATTTTTGTATTTCGATATTTGTATTTTCAACAATTTTACTTTCGACTTCTTTTTTTCTACGTTGCTAGCTTTCGACATTTGTACGTTTCAACAATTTTATGTTCGGCGTTATTATTTTTCGACATTTTTAGCTGCGATATTTTTACTTTCGACGTTATTTGGGGGAATCACATAAGATTCTACTTTATTCGACAGATATTCGGTAGACGAATTAGAAAAATCGTGCACTATTATCAAAAAAGTTATTCTTATTCACTTACTTTGGTCATTTCTCTGATTTACAGTCGATGAAAGAGAATTTCTTTTATTCCGTCTTGTCTTCAAGATAAGAACTGACGCAAAAGCCTTACTCATGTAATGAAATTACAGAACGGTTGCATGTTTGAAAGAAAAAGTTTCCTTTTTTGTCGTTCTGCCACACCGTGAAAAATTTACACCCACTTCATGGCAAAGAGACAAAAGATACTATCGGTTCGATTTTTCAAAAAACGATTAGCACTGTTTTATCTTCCTGTCTCATACTGGGAAAAAAAATTATGAATAATATTCTTTTCTTCCAAGATAAATATTTATTCTATCTTGATTCACCATTTGCAACCCAACATTTAGTGCTTTTTTTAGGCATGGTTATTAACGTCGCTTTTACAAATATAGTTGGTAAAACGATTCAAACTCAATTACCAGATAATTTTACTTTTGAACATTTCATAAAAGTTGTCATTGATAAAATCGNGAGTTTTAATAACATGATTTAATCATCTTGATTGAATCATGCACGAAAATATTCCGTAGGTTCCCAAAAGCGCCCAAAAATTAAGCTAATTAGTATAAAAATAGGCGCTTTTTGGAATGAAGGAAATTACATTGACCTCATTTTCATTTCGTCCCCAAAAGTGCCGACTCTTTGATTAATTAGTCGTTGCAAAAATTAGTCTAGAGTTGTGTGTTATTGATAATATATATATAAATATAGAATTTTTTTTTCCTCTGTTTATCTTATATTTATTCATAAATTGAAAAAAATAAAAAAAAATAAAAATAAAAAATAAAAATTCATTTAATAAAAAAGCAAATTTATGATCATTGTGTTGACTTGCCAAAAATAAAAAAATCTTATCAAAAAGTCTTACGAGCAATTTCTCATCGATATATATACATTATAAAAGATGCTAAAGATAGTAGCGACGAAGACTAGGTTATTGTTTATATTGTTGTGTTATCAATAAAATTTATATTTCATATCACGATTGTTGATTACTCATTACTCAAAAAGTGAGCGCTTTTGGGAACGCAATGAAAATGAGACCAATGTAATTTCCTTCATTCCAAAAAGTGCCCATTTTTATACTAATTAGCTTAATTTTTGGGCGCTTTTGGGAACCTACGGAATATTTTCGTGCATGATTCAATCAAGATGATTAAATCATGTTATTAAAACTCTTGCATTAATAAAAAATTGTCTTATTTCAAATAGTCGTCATTTAAAATCATTTCATTAAAGAAGGACATGGGTGTTACTGGAATCTTGTGATCTGTCATCTGCACCCAACCAGACTCACTCACACCCACACCCTCAATGTCCAACATAATCTTACAGATGACAAAAACTGGAATTTAAGAAAAAAACCAGTTTTCGCTGCATTTTTGGAAAGATTTCACTGCAACAAAACTTATTTGTTGACATCATTATGACTTGACCATTAACATATGGTAGTAGCTAGACTTCTGATAAATCATTGTACCGATGAAATAGAGATTCTCATTTATTCACTTGGAACCATTCATTCAATTTATTTCACCTTGCCTTCAACCAAAAAGTGACACATAGACTTGCATTGTGGTGCAGAATGGCTGCATGTCGGAAAGAAAAAAAATTCCTACTTTTGTCTTTCTATCCCATAGTGGGTAAAAAAATTATGAATAATACTCTTTTCTTCCAAGATAAATATTTATTCTATCTTGATTCACCATTTGCAACACAACATTTAGTGCTTTTTTTAGGCATGGTTATTAACGTCGCTTTTACAAATATAGTTGGTAAAACGATTCAAACTCAATTACCAGATAATTTTACTTTTGAAGATTTCATAAAAGTTGTCATTGATAAAATCGATCCTGCCGGTGTGGAACAGTATCGTTTCGTTGCCAATAATAAAGATTTATGCTTGGACAACAACCATGAGTTTGTAAAACGAAAACATCTGATAAAAAATGGAACGACAATTTTTCTTTTACGACGAATGAATGGTGGAGGTTATGTTGAATCAGCTATTCTCATCGATATCATTGTCCAAGAGTTGCCAAAAGAACTTTCGAAACTTCGCATGAACCCAGCTGAATGTGTCGTCTGTCTTGATGAGAAGACATGTGCGAGGATTTGTTGCAGTGTCATTTGTATGACATGCTTTCCTCGATACTTTCGAGAACATGATCTTCGAATCAAATGCATGGTACGTCCACGAGAAATTCCATATGTACAATTTTTTTTATCAGCTGATTTCATTCGTTTACTCGAATTGTTAATCGAAATTCGTGCAATGATGAAGTATATAGATTGTCAAATCTGTCATTGTGGTTCATTACTCATCAATAAGACTTTATACACTCAACAAACATGTCACAATTGTCGACGAACTTTTTGTTTTTTTTTGCAATAAAGACTGGAAAGATGGTTCAGAGCCACGACGCAATGAACGCTACACCTGTGGAGTCAATTGTGATTATGACACAAAATTGAACTATGATTTAATTCCTTACGTTCAAAACCGAGCAATTGGCATTCCAAATAGTCGAGTCTGTCCGAGATGTTTCAATATTAATGGGTATAATGGTAAATGCAAATATCACGAATGTGTTATTTGTAAACATACATTTTGCTTCTTATGTATGAAACCAAAAGAACAATGTTGGAAGGAAGCATCGAGTATAAAGCAATTGTGTGCTGAAGTGAAACGACAAGAATTTACTATGTTTCCTCGCATTACAAATTCGTAAAATCGAAAACACATATTCGTATATAATTAATGTTATTTGTACTTCATCAAAGCTTTCTTTTGCTTTTCCTCTATCAATCTCCTTATCGATTCTAATAAACATGAAAAAGAGATCTAAAATCAGTTTCAAAAGTGATCAATCATTTTCTCAACTCTTATTGATCTGAATGGTGATTACTCAATATGAAAAATGTATCTATATAGAGAGATAAGATCTAATGGCTTTATTAAATATTCAGGCAAAAAATATTTTTATGATGATAGAAAAATCGTGTTTTTTATTTAATTTTAATTATACAGCAGTATCGATTATTAAATCTTTTTTTTCTTGTTGATAAACAAGAGTGTATGCACTGTAATTGTTTACATGTATACTTTTATCCATTTTACCGACTCGATCATCATTATATTTGTACCAATCTTGAGTTGTCGGAAGTTTAGCATAAGTCACAAAGTGTCCACCATCAATGAACCTACCCCAATGATTAGAAACAGCAGTCAACTTGTATCGAATACTTTTATCCTGACGTGATGGAACAACATAAGTATTTAAATCAAGATCATCCAGATCATATTCGATTAAAGTATCAATTTTTGAAAACGATCGAAGATCATTATTAAAACGTTTCAATTGAAGAATGAGTACAGGAGGCAATTCGAGCAAATAGATCTTTTTCTTAGCATGCCTTAACTTGTCACAATGTTGACAATACCATTGTCCATGATTTCCAATATCTTCTATTTGAAAAAAATTTTGAAAACAATGATCAAGTTTGTAGCCATATGTACGCGAAAATTCTGTGTTCTTGTTTTCGTCAGGCACTGGTAATGGTAGAAAACTGAAAGAATTGTCAATCGTTAAATCTTGGTTGCATTTCTGACATGTGACTGTTGTTCGAATTTGCCCATGGAAATTTTTCGAAACGATCGTATGTTTGTCTTGTAAAATTTGTATTAAATCTTCGTGTAAAATATCCAGGAAGATATTTATAAATTCGACTGAATCATGTTGGCGATAGTTATGGAAACGCGGTGCTAATCGTTGAAATTCCGTATAAAATTCGACAGGTACAATCACTTCACAGTGTGATGAAGACATAGACTCAATGAGTTCGCTATACAGTCGGGCTAATATCGAATTGTTTTCTTCACTAATGCATTTGCTCTGTAACAATTTTTTAACCTTTGTATCACGAAAGTAGTTGAAAAACGATTCAATATGACCGAGACATTGTAATGCACTATTCATGAAACATGTATTCCCTAAATTTAGCAGCCCAGAGAGAGGATAGACATCACGTAAGTCGTTTGAATAGTCTGGTTGTTGTAAATTGGATGAAGAATGTATTTTTCCATGTTTAAGGTATTCAGACGACGCACAAGTCACAATGTAACCATTATCCAACAATGAATTGATCCGAGCATGATTATCTTCATTTTTCAGTGGCTTCCAACGAACATCATCTGAATCAGACGAAGCATATAATAAAGATATATTGCTGGAACAATCATTCAATGCAAACGTGTTGATGATCTTGAATTTTAGACTTGCGAAAGTGTCTGTTTCTAGCATAGTTATTGTTTGTTGTTCATGAACAGATGAAGGACTTGTACATATCTTGATTTCAATGAATCGCGACATATCCGTTGGTTCAATACGCGGAGATTTGGACGATAACGATCCTTCGGTAAATCTTTTTGTTTGGATATTCTTTCAATTTCATAATACATAAAATAAGATAGTTTGATAGTGTATCTAAGTGCTTTGAAAATCTATATTAGAGCTTCTCAAAGGATTGATAGAATTACAATTTCAAGTATCAGAAATGAAAATTTAATTGATGCTAACTGAAACTTCATAGATAAAACATTGCCCCGTTTGCTTTCATCTCTTGATTTACGTGGACATTATTTTTTAATGCTGATGTACTAAGTCGATGTTGTTGATTTGAACTCTACAAATAACTTTCTTCTCTTTTTGTTTCTTCAGCATATATAGAGAAAGTCCAAATAGTAGTTTGGAGATAATATAAATGTTAGGGGTAAAATTGAAATGCAGTCAAATTTGAAATTTGTCTAGTCAAAATTAAAATGTTTCCTTTTGTAACAAAAAGAAGATACAGTATTTATGTGTTTGTTGATTTTTTTTTCTTCTTCTGTTCTCTGAACTATAGTTATTTTTACAAGTAAGAAAAGAACGTCAGAATGACTTCTCATTTAAATTACTTTGTCAATATGGAGTTTTGACTAACACATTTGAAGCTTCACAATTCTTGAATTTAAAAGATGCTTGTCCAACTGAACTAAAGAACTTGGATGTTGCTAATTTAAAACCAATTGCCATTATTGAAGCTTCGAAATGTTATTCACGTGGTTCTACAACTGGTCGTACATGCGATTATCGAGGCAAGTGTGAAACGAAAACATATTCATGCCAAAAGGAAACGTTTTCTTTTCTATCAAATGTCATTCAAAGAGAGGCAGATATTTAAACATGGAATAAATTGAGTGACAGTTCAGTTAATACATGCAGGAATTTCTTGTAAAATAAAAACTACTTATTCCTTTTTTTTTCTCTTTTTGATCTTGTTTTCGTCACAAAAGGAAACATTTTAATTTTGACTAGACAAATTTCAAATTTGACAACATTTCAGTTTTGCCCATAACATAAATTTAAACCCTTTTTCGAACTTAGAAATGTGAATATTTCGCTAAGCTAGGTAGATCAATTTGAAGGAAAAATAGATCAGAAAATGCTTGGTCAATTTACTTACGGTATCCTGTTCGATCGAATTATCATCTTGTTGTGTACGTAGCGTTAGATGTAACTTGCTTGTGCTGATACCATTCTAAAAAAATACAACAAAGATCTATTGTTTTTGACAACAGTGACTTAAAGATATACCTCGTTTAATGAATAATTCGAATGATCAGTGTAAGTTGTGGTTGATGGTTCGTAGGACGAACGATTACTACATTTCTGTTCATTCGTGAACGTCATCAACGAGTTTTCAGGTAATATTGCTTCGCTATTCTAAAAAATTACATTGTTGGTACAATCCCATTATAAAAGAATATCAATGAAAACTCACGATTCGTGATACTTTGTCGACACAATCCCATATGTAGGATAATTTATATCGAGAAATTATGATCGGTTGTAGATTCTTCGTTGACATATTCTTTTCAAAAAAAACTCTATGCCAACTGCAGATATACCCAACTAAAAGAAAGGATAGGAATCAGCTAAGATCTTCTAATTAATTTTCTATATGTGTACTTACGAATAGGAACGTGTCCAATGAACAATGCAGCTCTTACACCTATCTGCATTAGGTCTTTTGTACTCATGCAATGATTATATGCACAATATTCGCGTGGAGTATAGCCATCGCATAACGAATGGTAATGAAGAGGACAAAGTACATCGTTCTCATTGAAACTATCACATCGTGACTTGATTAATATATAGTCAGAAACGATGTAATCAAAGATATCGTTCATATGAGAATGAAGTTCAACAGCAGTAAAAAAAGAATCGCTACCAAGGAATGTCCCACATTTCGTGCTGTGATTCCGTAAATGGCATGATCTGTATTTCATCGAGTAAAGTAATATTTGACTAGGATAAAGATCTAAAAACTTAAATTATATGTAAATGGAGAACGAAAATATTATATTTTATCTATCACGTTTAACATGAACAAAAATGAAAACTAGCTTTAGTAATGTCAATGCAAATTTAGTGTTCTAAATTCGTTTCTTGTCGACGATAACAGAGAATATAGGCATTTGGTGACTGAATAACTTTTTCGTCAGCTTCGCGCACATGTTCATCGTTGAAATGAAGCCATTTCTTAGTGAGAAAATTTTTAGCATAGGTTGTATAATGCCCTCCAGCAAGACTACCGGTATGACTAGAAACTGCCACAAGATTATAGAGAGCATTTTTTGTGATTATTATTAACGGGAATAAACGGACTAAGATCAAGAGGGGAATCGACGGTAAATTTAACAAGTGTTTTAATTTTAACATTATTCCAAAGATCGTATGTAAATCTTTTCAATTGTAAAATCAGTACTTTAGGAAGAATCCAGATATCAAGTTTCTTTTCGGCATCCCTCAAATCATTACATTTATTACAAAACCATTGACCATTTTCTCCAATCTTTTCTACTTTGAGAAATTCGTTGAAACAGTCAGTTAGAGTTACTGTTTGTTTGCGAGGCTGATTGGAATATTTTTGATGAGAAGATGCTAGTGGCAAATCTGGAATTGGCAAAGCAAGAAAACTGATTGAATCGAATGTTATACAAGGCTCTCCGCATGTGCATGTAACCGTTGAACGTATTTGGCCGTGGAAAATCTTAGATATTGGCGATGTTTCATTCTCGACGTCGTCCGGATTTTGTTTCAAATCTTCATGCAAAGCATTCAACAATATATTAAGAAACTCATGTGAGTCTTGTTGATTATGGCCTGCAAATCGTGGTGATAATTTACTCACATACTGTTTGACAACAGATGCATCGGCGATTGTTGTCTTACCAGACCACATTTCTTTGATCAAATTAGCATAAGCTAAGGCCAACTTTCCGTGTGTTCCAAGATCATTAGTAGTATTTAAAATATTAGTGATATCATTTTCAAAAATGTATTCAGTCAAGTCGGGAATATTGCTTAAACATTGTAGAGCACTATTCATGAAACATGTATTCCCAATATTTCCTAAACCACATTGACCACGTTGAATATTAGTTTTAGCAATAGGAAAAACCCGACATGTATTCGTCGTTTTATGATATGTCTCGTGTGAAGGAGATATTGATGATGAATAAATATCCTGTATATCAGTTTTTTTAATTGGAAGTGTAGATTCAGTCATATTCTCTTGAAAAGGAGTCGGCACGGTGGTAAAGCCTAAACACTCGATAGTCGATTCTGTACGGATTCCTTTTTTAAATGTCGTATGTTCATAATTATTTTGAGATGAAGAAATATCAGTTTTGGTCTTTTTACATGATACAGGAGGAAGATGACACATCCTTGTATCGATTTCTTCATCCCTGGTTATTCGTTTTGTTGGAAGAGATGATCGATTGCTGGATTTCGGTCGAAGTTTTGAAATTAATTCATTCTCTCGGTAATATATCTGTAATGTTGATTGATTATAAGACTGCTTCATTCCCATATCTTCGTTTTTCATCATTTCATGACCAGGAGATAGATAATTCTTAGGTACTTTGCCAGAATTACACACGAAAACAGGTTTTGGAATAGAACTCCGCGAATTTTGTTTAACAAGCTCTTCTATACTGTTTTTGATAGTAATATCTTCAGAAGAAGTGGATGGGACATTGCTTGATTTAAATGAGCTGTAATGTTTATTATCCCATTGAGAATCTATGCAGTATACTTGAAAATGAGATCAATAGAGCAATAGAATTTTTAAAAGATGTATAATCAACTTTTTGTAGTTTTTTATTCAAAGATTCAATGAATTGGATACTCGTATGAGTCGATGCATTGAAGATAAAGGAGTTGACTCTACTAAGTTTTAGTGAATATCTTTGAACAAAAATATTTTCTTGATCATTTCTGTCTTCAAAAACAATTAGATTCCTTATTAAAAATACCCCATAGTTGGTAATTTTTAAAACTCATTTCTTTCTAATCAATACTCAACAGCTTGATAAAGAAATTGTGAACTTACTTTGATGTGATACAACAGGTTGTTTCGTAACAGAAGATCCGGTATAATCGACGGGCGATGAAGGCATAATTTGCATTGATTCGTCTGATTGTATACATGAAGGAACATTTTTGCGAAACCAATCTCTCGTACGTTCTAAATACAAAACTTATCTTTATTTGCTCGTTGTGAAAAAAATCATTTTTCAATTATGTTCATTAACATAATATCATCAAAAACAAAAAATCGATTTTTAATATCTTTATGAGCCTGCTTAAGTGTTCAGTTATGAATATGACTATCGAAATTATATGATGGTTAACAATTCTGACAAACAATCTGTAGAATATCACAGACCAAAAGGAGATCGTTTTGATTTATCCGGTTCAAGTGATTGAGAACGGTATTCGGTGGATGGCTGATTCAATGTTGGACTTAATAAAAACAAAAATAAACTCGTAATTATCAATTCTAATCATTAATCTCGAACTTACTTTTGCAAATCTATGCTGTGATTAGCTTTCATTGATCCTTGATGTTTTGGGCGATCATTTTTCCATGTTTTAAAAAAACCTTTCTTTTCATTACCAGACATTATCTTTCAAATATCAGTGTATCTAAGTAAGAATACGTATAGATGTCCGTGAAGACCCAAAGAAATAAGCAGAAGGTTAAGAAAAGCGTTTTATAAATCATTACCGTAGGTTAGATCTAGACCTCGTTTATGTAACATCAGTCTTCAAAAAAAAAGATTAGTAGAACATAGCAAATAGGATACATACTTTATTTGTTGGAAACTTTTATGATTCATATTTGGCTGCATGGCAAAAGAAAAAAACCTAGCTATAAGACTTTTTTCTTTTCTTCCAACATGGTGGATTTTTTCCCACTCCGAAAGAATAAAACACAAAATGACGACATTAGGCAAACAGAAAGAGAAAAGTCATAACCCTTATTATTTTCAACATAGAACATGTGACAGGTTTGAATCTTGTGTTTTTTTTAAACATTGAGATACAATGTGTTAAAGAAATAGCCTACCAAAATAAGATTGTATAACTTCATTGTACTTCAACTAAACGTACCGATTTTGAGATTTGACGGTATGATGCAAATGTCTTCAATTACTAAAACTTTCTTAAATTATTAAATAATTTATTTGAGTTGTTTGCGTTTCCACTATCCTATTTGGAATCTCAGAATTTCTTTAGGTCTCTCTGTTTTGCTTGTTCTAAAAAATTTCGTAAAACTCCTGACGATTTCGTTGCTATTGGAAGTCCGTTAAATGATATAAAAGTATCAGAAAACTTTCTGATACATCTCATTTTGATAAAAAAAATTCCCTTCCATAAAAAAATACTAGAAAATATTACGCTCTCAAATATTGTGTTCCAACGATGATATCACATTTCTAACTTCGATTTTTATCCATATGCAAGCAATTCATCGTAAGAATGTATGTATTAGTTGTTTTTGGTATTATTCAAAACATAAATGAAAGATCGTCTTTTGCCAAATTATCAAACATCATTCTCCGCATAAGAATCTTGTCCTCTTGTAGTTCTAGCGAATTATTGAAGATCTTAGAGGACAAAATTTGTTATTCTGTAAGATTGTGTCTGAAAAAAGAACAATGCAGTACTTGCCGGTATTGATCTTTTTTTGCAATAGACTATGAAATCATCAAACAATGAAAGATCTCACACACAAATAACGTCTTGAAAGCCTTGTTTGATATCGCTTTTTTTCGTAAGATCGGATTCATAAATATCATTTTAGATATGATTAATATTCACTTCACTAATCATAATCGAAACTATCTCACACAATTGCCACAAAGTTTCAATTTGAACGATCTTCAACGACTGATCATTCGTTATTTCAAAAACCCCTTTCGTTATCGTTTCATTATTGCCGGTAAAGAACTTGATCTTTTCAATAATGAATCATTTGTTCATTATCAATCTTTATTTCATAATGGTACCAATATTCTTGTTCTCGAACGAATTCTTGGAGGAGGTTATGTTGAAATAGAAATTTTGACAAATATTATTTTGTCTGATCTTGAACAAGCTCTACAACAAATTGCTACAATAAACGATCCTGAGCGACTATGTCAAATTTGTCGCGAAAATACGTATACAATGAAATTATGCTGCAATCGCATTTGTAAAGTTTGTTTTGGAAATTATTTTGTATTTTCAAATTTTCAGCTCAAATGCATGACTTGCCATCAAAAATTACCTTATGATCGATTTTTTCTTACGCCAGATTTTATTCGTTGTCTTGAATCACTTACTGATATTTATGAATTGATGAGAAATATTGATTGTCAAATATGTCGTTGTGGATCATTGTTAGTAAACGAAACATTATATTCTCAACAAACATGTACATATTGTCAACGTACTTTTTGTTTCTTCTGTAACAAGGATTGGAATGAAGGATCGATTACACGTAAGAATAATCAATATTATTGTGGTTCTAATTGTGATTATGCAACAAAATTGTCCTATGAACCTGTCCCACTTCAATGTAATAACAATGTACTTGTTCCTAATCGTCGTTTCTGTCCATTTTGTTTTACATTAGGATCGTACGATAAGAAATGCAAATATCATACTTGTCCGACATGTTTACGTTCATTTTGTTTCATTTGCTTGGAAGAAGAAGAAACATGTAAAACCAAATATGAATCGAATTATCAACATAAATGTACAGATGTCAAGAAACAAAACTATTCAGACTTTCCGACAATTATCAAACATTGATAATACAACAAAAATCATTATCAAAGCAGTTACTAAAATTTTTACATTGACTGTTGTATGAACTTGTTTACTAAATATAAGCATGCCATGTCATCGGTATTTTGTACTAGCTAGTTAGTGTGTGTGACACTTATTCTAATTCATTATCATTCAATATTTCTTATCAAATAATAACATTAAAAGTTTATTCTGGGCCAAGTGCTATATGATAATAAATCTTTGAGTCAAACGCAAAAATAATCATTTGTTTTCATTCATAAATATCGTGCTTTTTTTGAATATATTATTGGGTTGTAAAATAAGCTCTGCAGGTTTTTTTTGTTCAACTACAAATGTCCTTTTAAGACAAACATATGTAATCTCAATCAACAATATAATCGCCATTATTTTCGACAAGCTTCTTCTATCTAGCTGGCAGTTTTCAATCTAGGTATGGGTGTGGGGGACCCGCACTAAAAAATCAGTCAGTTGGGATGGAAAGTTCTTCCGCATCCACCGTACTCACGAGATCTTCACCATCAGACTACCATCTGTTTCGGTCCTTTTAAACCATTTGTACGACAAACACTACGAACACTTCGATGAAATCTATTTTGACCTCACTATCTTTTTCGAATCACAACTGGTCAGTTTCTACGAACGTGGGATTGAACCATTGCCAACAAGATGAGTGAAGGTTATCGAAAACAAGACGATTATATTGTTGGTGGATGTCATAAAGTTTTGTCGTGAAATAAAGTTCTAGCTGAACAAAAACAAGCTGCCGGACCTATATTACAATCCAATACTAAATTTATCGATGTTAAAACATCGGCAAGACAGAAAACAATTCATTTAATTAGAAAAAATCAAAATATAAAAGTAATTAGTTCGAAAATATTTTGTATTCCGATTTACTATTGTACTTAGGATCTGGGTGTGAATATGTCTTGAAGTTCTTTTCATCCTCGTTTCCAACTCACATCCACACACTAAAGTGTATTCAACATACGAGTATTGAAACATGTGTCAATTAGCGTGAAGATAGCGACGAGTATTTTCGTTCTTATTTATGATCAGATTTTGAACATAGATTAATAACAGTAATTCAGTATTTTAAGTAAGTGAGAACCTTAGTAACGAATATAACAGTTGAATTGTTGTTTATTGTCATTTGAATGTAATTTGAAAGAATAGATAATTTCGCAGTGAAGACTTTTCCCAAGAGAAAAAACTCGTACGTTTCCAGTACGAAACTGATTTTTCCGTTCAGTGACACTGAGTACATTAATTATCTCTAGTTTTATAATTGTTTCAAAACAAAGTTAATTCACGAGCCTGGCAATCCTAAAGCAAATTTGAAGACTTCTGAAATTCTTCAGAAAACTTATAGAATTTCACATTTTAAGTACTGGACGGGGTCTGTTTGCATAGGATTTACAATTCGAAAATTTTATTCTCTTTTGTTTAGTAATTGTACGTCCAACACTGATTGTCGAGAATGTTTCAAAATTGCTTTTTTAAGTTTTTTTTTGTTTTTGGGATGTGGGCATGGGCGTAGTTTTGTTCTTTATAAAGATGGACACTCAAGCCACATTCAGACCGACACCTTTTCTCTACGGAGTGAATTTGTTTTGATCGGTTGAAATCAAGATGCACAACACTTATGTTCACATTCACTAGAGTCGAAATCCTCAACAAGAAAGAGATTTTCTTCTGCATTATCACGATTTCTTACTAATTTGTCGACTACACCATCTCAAATTTTCACAACGTGTCTTGCACATGCATAAGACTTTTAATCAAACAAAAACTAGAATTCTCATAAATCATTCTAATGACAAAGATTCCCAACCGTTCATTTGAACATTTCATTCGATCTGTTTCGTTTTGTTTTGTTTTCAAAGTAACAAGTGATTCATAGATCCTACCCGTCTAATGAAGATACAGAATGACTGCATGTTGGAAAGAAACACTTTCGTTTTTTTGATCTCCTGTCATACTGTGGGAAAAAAATGAAAAGTATTATCGTTCCCTTCCAAACCAACTGTTACCAGATAATTTTACCTTTCAAGATTTCATAAAAGTTTTCATTGATAAAATCGATCCTGTTGGTGTGGAATAATATCGTTTCGTCGCTAATAATAAAGGTTTATGCTTGGAGAACAAAGATGAATTCGTAAAACGAAAACATCTGATGAAAAATGGAATGACTATTTTTCTTTTACGACGAATGAATGGTGGAGGTTATGTTGAATCAGCTATTCTCATCGATATCATTATCCAGGAGCTGCCCAAAGAACTTACAAAGTTGAATAAGAGTTCCAGCAACTGTTTAAGCTGCTTAGAAGAAAAACCGTGTGTAAAACTTTGTTGCGGCTTTGTGTGTACCGATGCTGATTGTTTTCCTTCGTACTTCAAAAGCAGCGACCTTCGATTGAAATGTACTGTATGTCACCAAGAAATTTCTTATTCAGAATTCTTTGTATCATCAGATTTTATTCAGTCACTTCAATCATTAAAAGAAGTTCGTGAGTTAATGAAACACATTGACTGCCAAATTTGCAAATATGGCTCGTTGCTCGTGAACCAAACCCTGTACGCTCAACAAACGTGTCATAGCTGTAAACGCACATTCTGTTTTTTCTGTAACAAAGACTGGAGAGATGATCCAGAATCTCGATGCAGTGAACGCTACACCTGTGGAGTCAACTGTGACTATGACATGAAGTTGAACTATGATTTGGTTTCTTTCTTTTACAACAGCAAAATTCTTATTCCTAATAGTCGTGTCTGCCCGAAATGCTACAATGTCGGCGGTTATGATGGAAAATGCAAGTTTCACACATGTGCCGTTTGTACGCACGAGTTTTGCTTCTTTTGTCTAAAGCCCCAAAACAAATGTACCAAGAACTATCAAACACAATGTATGCAGGTCAAGCGACAAGAGTTTACTGTATTTCCACACATTATCAGGTCAGAGATTGAAAACCAGAACAATCGGACTTCGAAGTGACCACCGAGTATTTTTTCAATGTATTCGCGATTCTTTAGAACGATGTTCAGCAGCTAGTAAATGCTCTTATGCTTTTCAAAACTTCAAAAGGTTCATTTCTTGTCTCACCTCATGAAAATTATATAATCAATTAGTAGACTGTCTAATTTATGTTATCTTGTTCTTTCTATCATTACTATATATCTTCTTATAAATAAAATGCAGCCTTGATTTATGGAAATCGAGAAGAGAACAAAGTGTAAATTATTCGACAAACTGTCGATTGTAATTTATTTTTTTTTCTCTTGTTTGTCATATGATAGTCACACCGAGACTACTGTAGTAATGAGAAACTCACATGAACTGTATAATCTTATTATAGCTTAAACTTTATCTAGCAGCCATGCCAATGCTTCAAAGTGCTCAATTGGAATAAGCTCGCTCTTATTGAGATACTCATCACAGATGAAAATGAACACAATTGAGCGTCAAATCAGACTTTTGAAAAGAAAGACCTCATTTTCGCTAGAAACTTTTCATCTTTCTCACAGCTGCACCATTTCTCACTGGATACTGTTATTTCACTATTTGTTCAGAAAACTTTCTTTTATGAAATTAACTCATAAATTGGAATCAGTAGACAGAATATAATTCGATAAGTGTATTGCTCTCTTGCTTCAAAAATCAGCTCTTTTCAACATCTTAATTAAAAATAAAAGAACAGGAAAATTATAAACACAGATATGATACACAATTATGAATTAGGACATAGATACTGACGCTCATAAACAAGAATATATGCATCCGATGTCAAGACTTCCCTCAAAGATGCTTGACGAACATGCCGATCGTTAAAATGATACCAACGCCTATTCGTCAGATGTCGAGCGAAAGTCGTGCAATGACCACTGGCAAGTGTTCCTGTGTGTGTCATGACAGCGATAAGATCGTATGTTACAGATTGATTTATTTTATTCTTTTCAATAAATTGTTTCAAGTCAAGAACTTCAGGTATTTTAATCTTCGTCGTAATTTTTGTTTCATCAGTAAGATCATCTGTAAATCGTGTTAGTTGGAGAATCAATATTTGTGGTAACTTATATAAGTCTAATTTCTTTATTGCATCAGTTGTTTTCTGACATTTCTCACAAAACCATTGACCATTTGCACCTAACTGTTCCTTTATAAGAAGATTCTCAATGCAATTATCGAGAGTGGTATCATGTTGCAAACCATAATCAAGAAGAATTTTTGCCGTGTTCAACAGGTCCGTAAGTGGATTGGATCCACACTTTACGGCAGCTGGTCGACGTACAGATAGTGGAAGAGATAAAAATGAATCGTCTGTCGTTGTTTCAGTTTTACATATAAGACACTTGACAGTTGATCTAACTGTGCCATGTATCAGATCACCTATGGATGAGTTGTGATAGTTATCCATCAATTCATCATGAAGACTTTCGATAAATAAAGTTAGAAATTCATGACTGTCTTGTTGATTGGTTCCAGCAAAACGTCGGTTTAACTCACTAATACAAACTTTCAATTCATATGTGCTAGCAACACCTGTAGGAATCAACTGCATTTGAATTAATAGTTGACGATAAGCGGATATAAGCGATGACAACTGAGGTGGTTGTTGTTCTTCAAGATTAAGTATAATTTCAACGAATGGACCAATATGGCAAAGACATTGAAGAGCACTATTCATGTAGCACGAAAGACCTAGATTTTCAAGACCAGATCCACCAGATTCTTGCTGTTTGTAATAGTGAGTAAGAGAGTCTATTGTCTCCTGAAAAATTCTGAGCAATCCTGCATCATTTTGTTCTGTGTTTGTTGTATTTTGTGATGGCGTAGACAATGAAGTTGTGCTCAGTGTATCTGTCACTACTTCTGCTGAATTTCCCACAGAGAGGAACTGGAGGCTTTTAGGTAGCAAATTTTGATGAATGTCGAAGCAAACATTGGAAGAAGCATTGTGTAGTTTTCTAAGGCATGAATTCAACGAAGAACTGCATCTTACGCTAAGTTTGACTGTAACAAATATCAATAATATGATAAAAGCAATTACGGCAAATGAAAATTCCAACAAATAATTACCACTAAAAATATCTGAAAATGTTTGTCCCAGAAAATTGGTCGTATTTGACTTTATGCTTTGTTCCAATGGTTGATTCTACCCAGAAGAAAAAAAAAGGTTACTTAGCATATTCTCGACCTGTTGCAGATTTCTTGAAAACATAAAATTACATTTATTCAAAATATACTCTGCAGACGAACTATGGTGAATTATATCGGATTAACAAAAACATGATTGCTACTCACTTTGTCCATTTTTCGGATCCACAGTAGAAGAAAAAAATCTTTTTATTTTACTTCGTCTTCAGTGAAAAAAAATGCATATAGAGTAAAGTTCTGTCAACAGTGCATAATAGCTACATGTTGGAAAGAAAAACTTTCCTTTTTTTTATCTTCCTCCCACAAGCGAGAGAATAAATGAATGATACTATTTTTTTTTCTTTCTCTCATAGAGTGGGAAAAAATAAATAATACTATCTTTTTCTTCCAAAACAAATATTCATTCTATCCTGCTTTCGACAGTTACGACACAACATTTAGTTTTTCTTTCAATCATGGTTATTAACGTGGCTTTTACAAATATAGCTGGTAAAACGATTCAAACTCAATTACCGGTCAATTTCACCTTCGATGACTTCAAGAACATTGTTGTCGACAAAATCGATGGTGCTGCTATAGAACACTGTCGTTTTGTTGCCAACAATAAAGATTTGTGTTTGGACAGCAAAGATGAATTTGCAAAACGAAAGCATCTGATCAAGAATGGAACGACTATTTTTCTCTTACGACGAATGAATGGTGGTGGATATATCAAAGCAGCTATTCTCATCGACATCATCATCCAAGAGTTGCCCAAAGAACTTCCGAAACTCTGTACGCATCCAGCCGAGTGTGTTGTCTGCTTTGATGAGAAACCTTGTATGAAACTCTGCTGCACTGTCATATGTATGACATGCTTTCCTCGCTACTTTAAAGAACATGATCTTCTATTTAAATGCATGGTATGCCCATGAGAAATCCCCTATGCACAATTTTTTGTGTCACCTGATTTTATTCAATCACTCCAGTCATTAAGTGAAATTCGTGGATTAATGAAACATATCGACTGTCAAATTTGTCACTGTGGTTCACTACTCATCAATGAAACTCTATCCGCTCAACAAACATGCAAGCATTGTCAACGTACATTCTGTTTTTCTATAACAAGGACTGGAAAGATGGTCCAGAACCTCGACAGAACAAACGCTACACATGTGGAATCAATTGTGACTATGAAATGAAATTGAACTACGATTTGATTCCCTACGCTCAAAACAAAGAAATTAACATTCCAAATAGTCGTGTCTCTCCGAAATGCTTAAACGTCGGTGGTTATGATGGTAAATGCAAGTATTACCGATGTGTCGCTTGTAAACATACATTTTGATTCTTGTGCCTGGCTCCCAAAGAACAATGCTACAAAGGACCAAGCAGTATAAAGCAATTGTGTCCTGAAGTAAAACGACAAGAATTCAGCATGTTTCATCGCATTGTCAATTCGTAAAATAATAAAGCAAGCTTTTTATGTAAAAGATACTGTTCGCCTTTTCTGTACCAACCGTCTTCTCAATTGTAATAAACAAGAAAAAAACAAGAGTTGTTCGAATGAAGTGAAAACAAAAGAACAAGCGGAGTATTTGCATAGAGTATATTTACCATGAGAAATTTGACTCTGCCTGCTATTGTTTCCGACACTGATGTACATCTAAAATTGAAAACATACTTTTGCCAATTCTTCTGAGGAAGAAAAAAGATATAGCGCCACTCGAGATTGATCAATCAGTTTGTCAACTCCTTCTGACACAAAATTATCGTAGGATACGAAGAAAATGCATTTACATGTATATGCAATTCGAAAACTTTAAAAAACGGTTTCATTAAAAAAATTTATTATTACATAAAGAACGGGGTTTTTCAATATCAGTTACACAGCAGTATCAAGGATAGAATCTTTTTCTTCTTGCTGATAGACAAGAATGTATGCGCTAGAATTGTTTACATGCACATTTTTATCCACTTTGCCGACTTGATCGTCATCATATTTGTACCAATCTCGAGTTCCTGGAAGTTTTGAATAGGTCACAAAGTGTCCACCGATGAGACTACCCCGATGATTAGAAACTGCAGTTAGATTATATCGAATACTTGCATCTCGATGCGTTTGAACAACATAGTCGTTTATATCTAGATTATCTAGGTCATGTTCAATTACAGTATTGTTTTTTGTGTACGATCGAAGATCATAATTAAAACGTTTTAATTGAATAATGAGCACAGGAGGCAATTCGCGCAGATAAATGTTTCTGGGTGTGGGTGTGGGGGGTGTGTGCGTTTTGGTGAGGGTGGGTGTGGGTTGTGGAGTGTGAGTATAGGCGTGGAGTGTCGGAGTTGGGTGTGGTGCTGCTCTTCAACCAAACCCACACCCACAGCCGCAAATACAAAAGATGATTCATTATATTTGGTCGATAGCAATTCTGTACCACCTTACGCATGTTATAGCAATTCTTATTATGATGAGTATTCAATTGATTACCCAAAGATTTTATTCAAAAATAAAACATGTTTCCGTCCTGATATGTTACACTCTCCAATGATTATGTCCACTACATGGGTGGATAGATATGACCCACCTTTATACCACCTATTCGAAGAATTGAATAGGTTTAATCTAATTTCTAATTATACTTCTGCGATTTGTAGTAGATCAAACATGTACCAATGTTTTAATTTGTTAAAATGTATCTCAGTAAGTCGTCTCGTGGACAATACAGTTGATTGTCCTTACAAAGATAATGAAAATATAACGCAAATCAATAGCACTGATATAACAAAACTTTTAAAACGCCATTTCAAATGTCAAATAGCCAACAAGTACATACATGAATTGCTTTTTAAGAATGAATATTGTGACTGTAACCTTGAAGATGAAAATTGGTGTGAAGATGAAGATTTTCATATACAATATGCCAGAAAGAATATTTCATTTCAAACTATTTGTGATGAATTTACTGAATTGATTCCAGTAATTATCGAAGGACAAAATGAAACAGATGAAACAGAATGTGAACAATGGTCATGTAATAACATTTATACTCATTGTGATGGTCTATGGAATTGTCCACATGGTGAAGATGAAGTTGGTTGTGATTTATCTTCAACATTAAATTGTTCTATAGATCATCACAGATGTGTTTCACTTCATACGAATGAACTCATTTGTCTTCCTGTTAAGCAAGCAAATGATGGCAAGATCGATTGTCTTGGTCAGGGTCCACGATGTGGCGGGGGCTAGCCCCCGCCACTTTTGCAGTGTGTCTGCGAAAATTTGTAATACTGTCTGGCAAAAATGTGTAATATTGTCTGCGAAGTTAAATTTTATAGCTGCAGTCGACTGATCACGTGACAATATTAGCGTTGAAAAATTTTTTTTAGACAATTTTTCTGAAGATTTTATTTAGTTCTGGAGGGGAGTAGGAGTTTCTTCGTCACGCTACCGCCCCGTCCCCCTCCCCCGGTCATCACTTTTTGCGAAAAATAAGTGACTGTCTGCCAAGTTTGTTGAAGTGTCTGGCAAAACAAAAAAAAATTTTAGTCCCCTTCAGTCTCAAAAACAATCGAGAGCCTTGGTCTTGGTGCTACTGACGAACCAACATTATGTCAAGAAAAGTATCAAACAAAATTTTACTATAATTTTTACTGCATAAATCCATACTATCAACCATGTATTGGTTTCGAAGATCTATGTGATAATAATACAGTTTGTGATCATGAAGATGATGAAAAATTTTGTGTAAAAAATCGAACAGATATTTTCACATACGGCAGTATTTGTTTTTCGCCTGATTCATCTATTCGTTCTGATGTGGAACAGTTTTTATGTCACGAAACAAAATTCAAAATAAAAGAACAAATTAAATCTTTTTCATTGGATGGAATGAGCAAACCTGACGAAGATCAAGCTAAGGATATAATAAAACGCAGATTTTCAAGTTCATTTCGCATTGAAATGTCTGATCAACATGAACTTCGATGTCATCGTGGTTTTGATTTACGTGTCTGGTTAAACAATGAAAAGAACTTAACAACAAATACATGTCTTTGTCCACCTAGTTTTTATGGTGATATGTGTCAATATCAAAATCAACGAGTGAGTTTGATCATTACATTTCAAGTACTATCAGATTATTGGTCAACATTATTTGCAATAATTATTTCACTTATTGATGATAGTGAAGAAAGAATTATTCATTCATATGAACAATTTACTTATTTGTCAATAAGAGATTGTAAAATCAAATTTAATATTTATCTGCTCTATTCAACTCGACCAAAAAAATGAAAGCAAAAATTATGCTATACAAATTGATATTTATGAAAAAAAGTCATTAACCTATCGAGGAAGCTTATTGTTTCCAATAAAATTTCCATTTTTACCTGTTCATCGTTTAGTATATGTTGTTGATATTCCACAAAGTAATGAAAATATTCAAACTTGTTTAGATTCTCAATGTATTCATGGAAAATGTATGACATATTCGAATAATCCAAAAAAATAATAGTTTTTGTCAATGTAATCGCGGATGGTGTGGACAATATTGCACTATTCTATATAGTTGCACGTGTTCATCTGATCCAATATGTATGGGTGTGTCTGCTTACAATCGATCTGTATGTGTTTACCCTATTAATAAATTTGGCGATCGATGTCTTCTTGTCGAAACAATTTGTCAAATTGATAATAATTTAAGATGTCAAAATGGTGGTCAGTGTATTCGTGCTGATGAATATATGATATCGACTAGAAAATTTGTATGTATTTGTCCAAAAGGTTATATTGGTGATCGATGTGAAATAGTCGATAACAAAATAATTCTATCATTTCAAAAAAGTATTGTTTTATCTCAATCGATATTTATTCATTTCATTCAAGTTATCAATAATAGTGCACCGATGAGAACAACAACTTTTCAAACAATTTCTCTTACAAAAAATTCACTTATAGTTTATTTGTCACAACCATTTCATCTTGTTTTTATTGAACTTTTAAATAAAATTTATTATTTAGCTGTTATTCAAAAAACTTATGAACAATCAACAACAATTAATAAAATGATAAAT